AAGAACGAGACTGCAAATCGAGGGTGAGAATTTGGTTTCGTAAGTGTTCAAGCATCGATAAGGTTATTAGTCAAAGAAATCATTCGATAACCTACACAGTCAGGTGAGTATTCATGAGACTTTAACTGAGATGCATGCTTATGTATAAATCATTTGAGCATTATGATATATTTTTTTATGTACATGTTTATGGGTTTATTACATGTATATGAATTATTATTGTGGGTTGCATGCTATTTGTTTACATGTTTTTTTAAAACATCAATTAGCATGTTATAAAATAATAAATATTTTTGTCGGGTATAAGAAGGGGTCAAAAGTCATAGGGATGACACATCATAGGGATGGGTGATCGGACAAGGGATAGCCGTGTAACCCGGGGAAGTGCCGATGACGGTAAGACCTTAACCTGACGGGAAATTAAGAGATCTCATTATTATTTCAAAAGGGTTTGAAACAACTGTGCATGTTATTTTATTTCCGGTGTTGCTTATTTTATGCATGATGTGAAATGTATGATTGTGCATGAAAACCATGAACTCACCGAACTTTATAAAGCTAACTATTAATATGCATCTCAGGAGCTGGGTATTCAAGAAAGGAAAAGGGCAAAGGTTATGCGTAGGAAATAGGACTTTTATTCGAGTTATGAATTATAAAATCCGTAGTAGTTTAATTGAATTTATGTGTAATGTAACCCGATATGGGATGGGTTAGTTTTGAGATATTTATTTACAATTAAATTATTGTAAGACTTCCGCTGCGATAAGACTTTATTAGCCGCCAAAATTTGGATTTTATTTTACTTTATTACGTGGCACCTTGTAATTGAAATGTGGGTGTTACACATGCCCTCGCAAGATGGACGATCGAATAGTGAGAACAATCTTGGACATGAATTTGTTGAAATGTGTTCTTGCAAATGGCTTGGTAAGAGCATCAACTAGTTGATCTTTTCTAGAAATACATGGAACAAGCAGCTTTCGACTTTGGACATTCTCATGAACAAAATGATAGTCAAGATCTAAGTGCTTCATTTTTAGTGAAACTTAGGATTGGCGGCATCATATGTAGCTCCCATATTGTCATGATATATTATCGATGCTATGATGGGTAGATGGCCTAGCTCATTAAGTAGGTTTTTGACCCATAATACCTTTGTCCTAGTTGTAGCAACAGCTGGGTAAGGTGGGGGAAGTCCAAACATCACCGTAAAGAATATTAAGAGGGCCTTTAGATTGTAAGGTGTTTTGAGAGAACGCTAATTTATTACTTTTATTGCAACCACAAGAATTTCAATGAAAAACAATAGAGTTAGGAATATTCAAATTGAAAAAGTTGCTAATATGACATAGAATAGAATAAGAAGGATGGCCCAATCGATGATGCCAATCGATAGTGGATGCCATTTTGACAGAGTGAATGGTGGGACGAGCGGATTGCCATTCACAAATTCCCGATTTAGTTGGGTCTTGGAGAAGGGGTTCCCCTGTACGAAGATCTTTCACGAGATAAGAAGTAGGAGAGAATGTAATTGCTGCATTATTATCTTGGCAAAATTTAGAGATTAAAAATAATATTACAAGAAACGAAAGGTACATGTAATATATAAAAGTTAAATACATGAAATAACAACATACTTTCATAAATTTTCTTATTATAGCATTCTACTTTTGTTTTTTTATTACAACAATGTACTTTTAAATTATTTTTTATTATAGCATCACACTTTAAAAAATCTACCAATAATAGCAATGTGTAACCTTATCTTTTAAACCGGTTAACCCCTTGACTTTTTTGCGTGTGTGGCTTTATTAATGAGGTGATGTGGATGACACATCATTTTGATGATTTAATTAAAATAAAAATAAAAACCTATTTCAAATTATTATTAGTGATTTTCATTTTTCATTGCTATGATTTAAAAAAGAACATTTAATTTTTGGACTTTTTCTTATTAAGTTGCATCCAAATTAAATGTTCTAGGGTAAAATATTTCTTAAATAAATATGCTACGTTATTTTCGAGATATATTTTGTTTATACATATCTTTTAAAGTTTTCTTTAAAATGTTAACGAAATAAATTATATTCTACAATTTTTTAATATTGTTATATTAATAAATACTTCAAAAAGGTCTAATTAATTTAATATATTTATACATCAAGTAAAAGTTTTTTAACAAATATAATATATTTTTTAAAAGATAATATTTTTTGGTAAAAAAAGAACAATTATTATTTTCTTTTTTTTCAAAAAACACATATTTCTTTAAAAATATTAGCGAGATAAGTTGTGTTCTACTAGTTTATTGATATTGGTATATTAATGAATAACTTAGAATTTTTTTAATTCATTTAATATATTTATTAAAATTACATGTAAAATATCTAAATATTAAAATTAAAAGTAATTTGTTTAATAAGAATTAGTAGATGCTATAATAAAATAATTTTGAAAATACAATGTTGTAATAAGAAAGTCACATCACTATAGTACATGTGGACAACCTACATGGACAATGAGATGACATGAAAGCCTGGTATAATGGGTAAATTTAAATCAAAAGATTACCCAATGCTATAATGATCAAATTTTTCAAAGTACAATGTTCTAATAAAAAATAGTTTGAAAGTACATTGCTGTAATAAGAAAAACTGGAAGTACAATGCTATAATATATAAATTTATGAAAGTAGATTGTTATTTTGTGCATTTTATCCAATATATAATTAAGATGAAGTTTAGAAGTGAGAGTAAGAAGAGACGTTGAACCGATGTTTGAGATGGCTATGCTTAAACCATCGTCAATAATAAGTTCCTCCTTACCATTGTAAGGGGAGTGAAGTGCAAGGTTGGAAAAATCATGAATGACATGGTGTGTCGCACCACTATTGGATGAAGTTTATGAGGGAGCAATGATATAATCATGTGGAAAAGAAGAGATTAGATAATAAGAGGAGGGTGATGGTGGAATTGCGTTTGTATGAAAGACAGGGCATTGCAAGACATAGTGTCCAGTTACACGACATCATTGACAACGACCCTTGAATGGCTGGACGGATGATTTGGGATAGAAGTAGGGAACATATTTAGGATAGTAGCAAGAAGACAAAAACAAATATGAATCTTAAGCTTTGATGCCATACAAAAGTAAAAATGTAATACATCTTGAGTAAATCGTAACCTACAAAACTAAATCATAACTTACAATGACGTGATTATGAGAGAATATTTAATTAATATAGGATTGATTGTGGATATCCCTATTATTTAGGAGGTTGGTTGAAAGAAGTTATATCTCTTATGTATGACTAGAATGATACTCGTGCAATGAAGCGAGATACATCTTGATGTTAATGTTTCATTTTATTTTTTGTCTCTATCGATGTTATAATATAGTTTTATGTGGTATCGGGAAATCAATAATGTTTTTTGAATAAAATATAAATTTAAATATATCATAAAACTTTGAAAAAAATATCGTATCAAATTAACTATTTAAAAATTATTTTTTGTGCAATTCTTCTAATTTAATGTTTTTTTTATTATAACTTAATTTAGGTTTAATAAATAAGTAATTTATTTATGGTTTAATAATATAACTTTTATAAAGGTAATAATTAAGTATTCTGTTAGAATGATTATCCTAATTATATTTTAGATTTTTTTAATATTTAAAATGAGATGTTTATCTTGTTACAATTACAAGCATTCATTGTTAGTTATACAAATTCAAACATGCAGTTTTAATAAATTGTACTTACGCACAAAAGGGAGTAGCATGTGGTGAAGTAGCATTGATATATGAACCAAGAGAATGAGATGAAATGCTTGGATTTCATTGTCATATGAGTACTAACCCCTGATTATTATGTATGTAATCACAAAGAAGAACATTTTTTCATTGATGCATATGCTTCATTACAAAAATTAACCCTAGAAATTGAATCTTGAATAACAAACAATAGATTGAAGAAAACAAAGAAACGAACTTTGAAAGATGTTGACTCTGTTTGAATAAAAAAACAAAATATCATAGAGAACATATATAGTGTAAATAACTGAAATCGAAAACAAAAACAAAAGATTGAAGGAAACTAACCTTGGAAGCTTGGAATCTGTCTGTATCATGAAGAACCTGTTTCAAATGTATATGAATAGAGGATGTGATAGAAATAAAAAACGATATGTATATCTGTCTAAATCTGTTGAATCGTTGTCTGATGGGGGTTATCTAAACCCGCTGAAATCGATTGAAGGATATGGATGAAACAATTCATGTGATGGAGATCATCTAAATCTATTGAAATAGATAGACTAAAGGATATAAATGAAGCAATTGAATAATAGAAAGATATAGGTGAAGCTGATAAATCTGAGGATCTGTTGGAAGTCGATAGATCAGGGATGAGAAGATATGTTTAATAGGTTGTACCAAAGTATTAAGAATTTGTAAACTTAAAACTTAATTAATTTAATATTATATATTAGTACATAATGCTTTGAAAGTTATTTTTAAGAGATCGTGCCAAATATAATAGTTAAGTATTTTGTTAGAACATAATGATTATCTTGATTATATTTTAGATTTTTTATATTTAAAATAAAATATTTATTCAATATTTAATTATATTTATCTACAATTAGTTATACAAATTTAAAAATAAAGCCTTAATAAATTGTATTTATACATTATTTATTTATAATTTTAAATTTTAAGTAATAAACAATATTTTATGTAACAAAAATAATTTTTAAGATTTTTTATCAAATGTATTTTAATATAATATAGATAAATATTTGAAGGTAATCGAGGGAAACTGAAAAAGATGGTCAATGTTGTTATTGCCAAGTTAAGAAAATGTCCAGTCCACCACGGCAAGGCGTCTACTGTTCGTATCCGTTTTTCTTCCTCTTCTTCTCCCATGGATGGATGGATGAATGATTTTTCTTCTTCATCTCCCAATTACAAACACCATTGATCTCTGATTCAGATTACAATTCCTTTCTTTCTTTCTTTCTTTCTTTCTTTCTTTCTTTATCTCTAAATTCTATATAACATGAAGTCGTCACTGGGCAAGCTTGGACGCAAATTAAGTATCAACAGGAGCGATGGCAAAGACAAGAGAGATCACCAGCCTTCCGCCCACCTAGAAGACCTTGCTCACGCTTCCAAGGTATCCCCTTGCCTTTCCATATCTATTTTCATATTTATTTCAATTTCTAGTCTACACCCTCGATTAGGGTTTTTGATCCATGCTTCTTTTCTTTCCATGTCATCAACTCTACTATAACCCTTCCCTTTTACTAATAGACGCCTCCATTTCAAAAGGATTTAATTATCCTTCTCAAATAGCCCCATGTATACTACTAGCTTACCACCAAGGATACCCATCTCCATCATGTTGGAAACTCGACTGAGCATTCTCGCTTTTCTTCAACATCAATTGCTTTCACTTGCAAAGATTCCAAGCAATGCTGCAAGAAAGAACCAGATTTTGTTTCTGCAATCTCCCTTCCTAAGATACACACTCTCATCTTTCGTTTTTTGTAGGATATGCAAGATATGAGAAACTGTTATGATACATTATTATCCGCAGCTGCTGCTACCGCAAATAGCATATATGGTAAGTTTTTGGCCGCATGCCTTATAATGTTGCATCCAAATTATATTATCACAACTATGACCACACACAAGCTTTCTTAATGTTAATCTCTTGTCATCCTTCTACCATGTGGTGCAGTCCGTGGACCAATAAACAGGTCCTTTAACTGTTGTTCTGAACTTCATTCACATTCTTTCATGTAACACTATGTTGTACATTGTCGACTGACCTGATGGTTTCTGGTTGGTGGCACCTGTTGTATCATGTAAATTAGCTTAAGAAGAAAATATAAAATTGAAACCTGGAAAAGATGGCAAGTCTCATCAATATTGTGGTCTACTGAAGTCATTTTGATTTTGCTAAATACAGCAAGATGTATTCCATCCTTGTCTAAAGAAAGATGCATACAAAAGAAAGATTGTTTGTGAACTCTCAAGTGTGCTGTTTCTAGTCTAGATCATGGTTTGTGGGCACCGATTTATTATTTGCTGCAAGTGATTTTCCTGACTCCATGTGTCTGAGCTTTCCGGTACAACTTGAGCAGGTAAACTTTCTGTTAATGTGGTTGGACATTGTCTTTTATCAGAATAACAGAGAATGATTATCCACCAATTCGTTTTCATTATTTAACGTTCTCATTTATTGGGTCCCATTTGTATGGTGCCATGTATATGGGATGGGAAGAAATGAGGGTGTGATAATGGGCTTTAGTTACTCAATGTTTGGAGATATGAAGATGGAAAGGATATAATGTAGGAGGACGTAGAATGGATGAAAATGGTATTAACTCTGACCGGATACCTTCTGTAATCATAATTGTACCTAATTTGAATCAATATGGTATGTATGTTTGCTATATTCAGATCCTCTTTGAGTGTTTTTTGTTTGGTGATTTCTTGTGAGGTTTGACTATTGATTCACCACATACATTTGTATATGTTCTTTTTGTTTACTGATTCTTTTGCCATAAAGCTTTTGCATGTGAATGATCAACTATTGGTAACTTTGTTCTTTTTATCCAATATACAAATTAAGCATTCTCAATCTTATGCATGTCCCAGAATTTTCGGAGTCACTGCATGAGATGGGCACTTGTTTGCTGGATAAAACTGCGGTGGACGCTGATGATGAAAGTGGTACATAAGCATTGTTCTCCTTTTTTTGCATGAATTATCACGTCAAAGCATATGAATTGGTTAAGAGAACAAGAATGAAATCAGGATTTAAATATATTATTATAACCTGAACCTCGGAGCAGATGAGTCATTTTTAATGGTTATGCTTAGGTCATTCCTCAACTTAGCCGGTTTAAGGATTGGCGGAAGAGGAGACTTTAGGAAGTCACCTTTCAAATATGTCCACTCTCTGATGCTTATTAATCAGTATTTTATATGTCTGACTGCTGTGTTATGCCTCAAAGGCGATGACTAACACCTGCCTTGGGGTGTTTGAAAATGAGAGCACCCTTCTTGGGCTGTTTCATAGTATATGTAGAAGCTTCTTGTTGTAGTCGAAGCAGTTGTTTTCTAATAGCAACCCAGAACATTGAAGCCTTGGACAAACAGGTTACTGATGAGATGTAAAAAGATAGTGAAATGAACTATACAGGGTTGAAGTACTACATTGAAACAATAGTTACAGAAGAGAATGCCAGTTATTACCTTGGAATATCATGTTTGGTAGCTGAACTAGAGGAGATAGACTCGTAATAATAAACAGATTTTTCTTTGAAAAGTCACCTCTCAGTCGGTTTAGTAATAGCAGGATATAGTAAGAAGCTTGGTACGGTTAGTACTTTTGTCTCCTCAGCTTTTAACGTTCCATTCCCCACTTTCTCCCCCCACAACCATTAGGAAGTTTCTATCTAAGTAGTAGAACCTTTTAAACTCAATAAATGCACACCATTCTGCATTGCTTTTTATATTCAGTATTCTCTCTTTTTTTCCTTCAAGATGTTCCAAGTATGAACTTCATTGTGAGACATCTTCTACCTGTGCAGGAAGAGTGTTATCAGCTTTAGGAAACATGCAATCAGAACTTCAGAAAATTGCTGATTCGTATGTAAGTGTTCTGTCATGTTGTTGCTGCATTACTTTCACCTTGTCAGGAGCAGTGGCTCATCCCTCTCTTAATGTGACAGCGTTCTTATGTAATTCTGACGGTTACGAACCCAACTGAATCACTTCTAAGTGAGCTGCGTAAAGTAGAGGTTTGTGCTTTGGATTGCTTTTTTATGGTTAACTGTTATTATCCATTTATGTTCATCAATTTATTTATCACTTAACATAGTTACTTCCGAAGCACACTTTCACAGTTTCTTTTGATCATAACATGGTAGTAATCTGTATATGCACAATAAAGGCGACATGCAGAACATGTAAAAAAAATAGAATCCCACCAGAGTTGATAATTATGAAAAAGATGACTATTGGAGAAATGTGATGCTAGAAGGTTAATCTAACATATGATAACGTTGTACGGCTGCCTGATTTTTTGGAAATTTATGTAGCTTAATGAAAGATTGCAGGGCTAATTAGATGCTCTCATTCCAAATAGACCTTCATGTGCACTTAGAGATTGATTTGTCTTGGCCATTGTTAGAGCCATGATTCAGTAGGCTGAGTGATTTTTTCAGTTGGAGAGATGTAGCCAAACCATCCAAGAAGTAGATATTTATTACAGTTTTGAAATAGGCGAAAGAGGTAAATGGGACAGGCGAACATGGTATGCTGTAGTTAAGTTGCATAAATGCTCTTGTTAACTGTTGTCTTAAATCACAAACTAACTGCATATTTATCTCAAATGGTTGGTAAAAAATTTGGTGGTAAAGATATTATATTGTAGCAGAATGTGAAATATAAGCATGCCGGTGTGGATATTGAAAACATCTGATATGATATTCACAAGGATTTCTCTTGAATGATAAAAACACATTATTTACTCCTCTTTCCTTTCCTATTTCTTGTGTTACATTAACCATGTTGCCTAAGAAGGTAACATGGACACTTAACTTGAATCTCTATTATCTGTGCAGGAGATGAAACTTCAATGTGATGAGAAAAGGTAGATTTTGTTTTTGTCCGATTCCAAAATTTACCTATGAAGTGAAAGGTTTGTTGACTGCATATATGATTTTCAGGGACGCGTACGAATACATGATGGCACAACACAGAGAGAAGGGAAGGTTGAGAAGTGGAAAGGTTGAAACTTCTGTCGTACAAAAACTACAAGAAGCTCAAGATGAATATGATGTAGTGGCTAGGCTATGTGCATTTCGTGTAAAATCATTGAAAGAGGGGCAGTGCCGTAGTCTTTTAACACAAGCTGCTCGCCATCATGCTGCACAGGTGCCCGTTTGTTTTCCTCTGACCTGCTTATATGTCACTATGTGTGTGTATGTATGTGGACAAGAACTTGATTTTGGGTTGCTCCCTGGATGCAGTTGAATTTCTTCCGCAAAGGACTCAAAGCTCTTGAAGCAGTTGACCCTTACATAAGATTTGTTGCAGAGAAGCATCGCATTGATTTCCAACTCAGTGGTCTTAATGCTGGGGCAGCTGCAGAGAGTGAAGGCATAAGTAGTTATGAGAGCACTGATGATGGGGAATTGAGTTTTGACTACAGACAGAAGAAACAGGGGATTGATAATGTTGCCACTTCATCAAATGTAATGGAGGTAATCTTCTTGTAGCATAAATTAGCCAATACAGCTTGGGTTAGCATCGATAAATTTGTTTTGATGTTTAATCTAATTGAATTCTCCAGCTATCTGTTATTTGATCATAAGAGAAATGTCATATATACTTTCTTTTGATGGTGATAGTGACAACACTTTCTATGCATTCTGGGATGGATGATTATGGCTAATGATAACTTTAGGTTATCTTTGTATTTCTTCTGTAGGGACTTGGGCCAAACTGTATGTTATTTAAAACATTCACATGCCAACATACCATTAGAAGTTTCATCCATGTATTTGTGTTGGTGATAAAAAAGACTTTCTTGAATGGTGTCTAAGTATGTACCTGGACTCTTGAGGCATGGGGATTGATAGAGGCAGAATTTTACATTTTTGAAACAACAATGTGCTTCAAGTTTATTTTATACCAAAATGATAAGCAATGTTTTCTCGTCCAGTCTTCTTGTGTTTACAATATGAAAGTTGGATTTGCTTCACATCCCTTGACTTTCTCGAAAGAACAGGGGCCATGTTCTATTCTTTTATGTTGTTTTGAGATCAGTAATAATGCTGCTCCTGGATAATGTCACAGGTGACAAGCACTAGATTTTTTCAGGTTTTGTGCAGAAAAGATTGAAGATAATGAATCTACCTGGGAGTCTTTTTAGTTTCAACCATTTTTCTTCTGATGTTTATTTGAGTAGTTGAATGCATGTCACACAAGTCAAATTCTTACTCATCAAGTTGAAGGATTCATTAGTTAAGGGGTGTATGTTATTTTTCAGTATAGAGCTTAGGTAAGTGATCTTAAGTAAGTTGGTGAGTTTTGGTTAAACACATATGTGGGAAACTGGAATTTGAGTGATCTCTTGTAGTTAATGTGCTTCTAAAAGCAGAAAGACAAGATGAGGCCCTGTAGATCCCTACCCTCCTTACCTGTTATTGCTCCCCTTAATGGAATACTCTTCACTACGAATAATACCCCGAGACTCTTTTCCTATTAGGTTTGAAAGTCTTTGATATCCTCAAAAGATTCCACAGTTTGGATGAAACGACTATGAAAAGCGAGATATATTTCTTTAGTTGTAGATTTTCTCGCCATTCAGTGATAGGTTTCTTTTATACAGAAATTTTGAACTAGTATAGTTTTTCTGTTACCATTATGTAAATTTTAAGATCAGTGATCAACTTTCTTAAGGAGAAGTAGCAAAATAGAGATGCAGTGGTTGCTCAACCAAGTGTCTGGAACTGGAAAAGGTGCAACGGCTATTTAGCCAAATATACACCAAACGTTAGATGGATGCTATATAGATACGTACATATACATGTATACATATTGTTCCATTACGTTTTCAGGAGGAGGTGTACTGACCAAGTCATGATTGAATTTGGCAAACTTGTCAGTCGCTAAGATTTGGTTTTGTTTCATTTACAGCATACTGAAGCATACTGAATGTACTTGCGATCCATTCTGTTTTGCAGCTGGACCGGGTAGATAATTTGTATCCTCAAGTTTCAAATTTAGCAGACTCAGAGGTAAGCCAACCCCAACATTCAACAACTCTACATTCATGTCAGATTCCATAATACAATTAAATTTGCAAATTCTTCCAAAGGAAACTTGTTCCGCAGCTTAGTTGCTCACATAGAGATCACAGAGTTACTATAGGATGCCCATTCTTACTTCAACTCTTTTCACATGCAATCATGAAAAACAAATCTGACAGTCACAACAGAATGTGGGGTATAAATTGCAAAGAGGTACCTGAACTTGGTACCTTGTCTGAACTTACCCGTTGAATCATTTGTAGATTAGTACTGGCCCCAATAGGCTAAATTTCTTAAAAGGGTGGGTAGTTGTAGTCTATATTACCCTGTTGTTTTTGGAATTCTGAAACTAGTCGTTGAATTTGTTTTGCTGATTTTGTTAAATATCTGGTTTGTGCAGATAAATGTGAATAAATATCAAGGGGAGCGGCAAGGTCGAGTTAGCAGCTATTCTGCCCCAATATACCCAGAGTCAAAGATTGATCCATCTGGAAAACTAAAGGAAATGAAATTTTATTCTTATGTGCTGCCTCCTCCAGTGGTTGATACCAAGAGTCCAAGTTCAAATTTGCATCAGCCATTGGCAGTGGAGCTTAAGAAGCATGAAAGAGATACTGGGGATGAAGTCAGTAGCACATCAACATCTGCAAAAGCTTGGTCTGTGGAAAAAGAAAGGTTTTCGTTCCCACAACAACGGGATACTCATACTGGTAAAGCAGCGAAAAGACAAGCTTACTCTGGTCCCTTACCACCAGGTAAGATGGCATCTAGCAATAGCAGGCCAATAACTACATCTTCTTCTCAGGCACGTAGTGTTTCACCTCCCCCTTTATCTTCACCTAAAATAAGCGAGCTTCATGAGCTTCCAAGGCCTCCTACTACCAGTTTATCCAGACCTCTTGCTGCTTCTGCTTCTTTTTCTAGTGGGCATTCGGCTCCCTTGTTTTTCAAAAATCAAAACAAAATGTTGACATCTCCTCTTCCACCTCCTCCCTTGGTTGTATCTCGAAGTTTCTCCATACCATCAACCAACCAAAGAGGAAAAGTAGGGTCTCCGCCGCTCACACCCATTTCACTGGCAAACATCAAGTCGCTGTCAACAGTTGACATTTAAGGTACTTACACTGGTTATGTGCTAGTGAAATCAAGTTGATGATATTAGTTGAAGAGCTTGTGTGGTGTGCATGCAGGTGGAAGGCAAATCATATATTCTTTTTGGGCCATTCATCATCATGATCACCTTAGAGCAGGTCTGTAAATATGATGATGTATGTGTTTTTGCTTCTTTTTGAATTATGCACGAGTATATATATATATATATATATATATATATATATAATATGGATATGGATAGAGAGAAATAGATCCTGATTTTTCTTGTGAAATGTTATAAATTTGGTGATTGGTATATGTATGGATTGATAGTGATATATAGTTGGTGTTTTGTGGGTCAGATTTGAAGTGTTGTATATATATATAAAAGAAACTGAAACTGAAACTGAAATTGAAAATGAAATTGGTTTGTTTGAGGAGGAGGAAATGGAGATTGAAGATGTGAAAAAGCAAATAGCAATTGCCATATTTGTGTGTATGTCAAAGGAAAGGAATGCAGATGGTTACTACTACTTACCAGTAATGGAGTGGGTCAGTTAAACCTACTTGGACTTGATTACTGATACTGATACATACATCAAATCACCCCACATTTCTTATCAACACCACAAAATCTTCACTTTAAGATATTCTACCAACTTGCCAATTAGTTGTAATGCTTTTATTTTATTTTATTTTATCTTTTTTACCAAAAAATATCATTTATTTGTTGATCATTTATTAAAATTTGTTATAAATATGTATTCATATGTGCATGGTGAAATGATACATGCATTAGGATTGGGTACGTTGAATGAGACAAAATAAAGAAACGTTGTTTTGTGGGAGGAGAGGGTGTCTGTGGTGGTAGTAGTAGACTAGTAGTGGTGTGTGCATGCCTTCTGTTGCATCTCCACCCCACTTTTCACCTCTTTCTTTCTTTCTAGATTAATTCATTAATAATGCTTTTCATTCTATATTACTTATACTTTTAATTTACTCTTTTTTTAATATATAATATATATGTAGTGTCTATAATTAATCCAACATATTTTTGTGTTGTGTGTATGTGTATGTGTATTTTTCTAATATATTTTGTCATAAACAAGTATATATGAATTAGTGATGACTGAAAATTATTATGGAGTGGAGTGGAAGAGGCGAGAGTTGGAGCATAAATAAAAAGGTACAGAGTTTCTTCCAGGTTGTCGGAACGGGATCAGCTCCAACATTTGCTTTTTGTTCCAATTTATTATATACCTTTTTCTTTCCCCTCCCCCCCCCCCCCCAAAAAAAAAAAAAAAAACAATTACCATATATAGCAATTAATTAAAAAAAGTACAGTAATAAATGATACTAATAGTAATAGAAGCAGTGATGTTATTGATATGAAATTATATGTAAGTTGAAGATTGAAATGTTGGGAAGAATATAGCTATAGCTATATACACAGGGGTGGTACTGGTAGCACCATATATCATCAAAGTGGGTCTTTTTTTCCTTAATGTTTATATACTTCAAATCAAATGTATCATTTCTCAAAAACATGTTAATATTTTTGAAATTACTCCAACCACAACCATCCATTCCTTCATTTTCAATTTAACAGAAGCTTAGTATATAAAACCATCAATTTACATAAGATCTCTTGTATTTGGAAGAAGAAAAGGGAGGGGTATTGTTGTCGTTTTGTTAAACCCCAATCATGATTCGGAAAGGTTTGGGCAGATAAAGACAAATTAAAGAGCTCCAACAGTCGTACTATCACTCGTCCTCATGACCATCACACTCACCCTCACCCTCACCCATGACCCATGTATGTATGTACATATACATATACATATACATATACACATATATATATAACCTCCCTCCTTCCTTCCCCAGCAGAAGAGAGCAGAGCAGCCAACTTCCATTTCTTTCTTTTTCATTCATCCACTCAGTCAGTATTTTTGTAGTTCGTAGCTACTAGTAGTATCTGTATCAAGCAAGAAAGAAAGAAAGAAAGAAAGAAAAAGGGTACGTAGTCATGGGTGATGAAGGGGGTTTGTATGATTTCTTAAAGATGCAGCATCCTCCTCCTCATCCAGATCATGCCAAACAACCAAATCACTCGAGGCTCTTCTCCTGCCTCTACTGTCCTCGGAAGTTCTACACTTCTCAGGCACTCGGAGGACATCAAAACGCCCACAAGCGTGAGAGAGCCGCCGCTCGACGTTCTTACATCATCACCGCCGCTGATAATCACCTTCCTCCACCTCCCACAACCACCTACACCTGGTTCGACCATGCCCAACAAGCCCCCACCACCTCTCTCCCCTTCCCTCCTGCTGCCCAAAACAACAACACTCATGCACCAGAAGACGTCGACCTTACACTCCGTTTGTAATCGTTTCTTTTTTATATTCTAATTAATACATCATAGTTCATGACTAGCTCTACCTAGTACTAGTACTGATGAATTACTTAACGGTTTAATTAGTTTACTGTTAATTTGTGGTATGTACTGTTGTTTTAATTACTGGCCATCATATCACATCTATATTATATATTCTAGGAAATTAATTAATTAATATATGCATTGCTGCTTCCTTTCCATTCGTTAATTGATTTTCATGCAACATTCCTAGCTAGCTAGCTGCTACTGGCATATATATATATATGTATATATTCATCTCCAAGTTACTTTGAGTTGTGTAATATATGTATAATAATGAAAATAGTTTTTGATTATATATATAAACATAGACTGTTAATTGTCAAATAGCTTGTTAATTAATGAATGAATCCTTCTAATTTCAAATCAATTTAACCTTCTTGCTACCTTATATATGTTGTAATGTTTTAATTATACCAGCTACTTATAATTAAATCAGATTCAAAAACTTCATGTTCTAATTTTATTAATTTGGATAGAAAACAAATTAAAGTTTGATTAATTATATTTGTTTCTTAATTTTTAAAGTGGATTTATTCATATATTTCAATTCTCGTGTTATTGATTGATAATTTATATGATATCAAGAGATGGAAGAGTATGCACGTTGTAAACAAAATGACTATTTGAAATTATGACACATACAAACTTAATTAATTTCTGGCTTCTTGGTGTTTTTTCCTTAACTAATATATATAACAAGAAAGGCAAGAGCAGTTAGATCTCTCTCACTCATGTGCTACATACATATATATATATATATATATACATATATATATATATATATATATATATATAACTAGCTTTAATACAAATGAATTACAATATATTCCGTTATTAATTGATGTATGTCCACAAACATGTTACATACACGATCAATACATTTTGGATTGGGTTGTAATTAACTAATGAAGTGTATATCTTAATTGGTTTTTGGAAACTTAGGGGGTGTTTGAGATTGCTTATTTAAAACAACTTATGCTTTTTTGTAAAAGTGCTTATTAACTTATGTAGTATCAAGTCGGAGTTTTGTAAAAAGTGTTTGAATTAGCTTATAGTGGTACCAAATTGCAATAAGCTGATAAGTTGTTTTTTAGTGTTTGGCAAATTTTGCTTATATCTGTAAAATGACCAAAAAGGACAGGGAGAAGATTGATGTTGTTATCTGAGAAGGGAGAAAATTGAGATCGATGTTATCTGGAGGAAAAGAGATAGGTATAAAGGGTAATAGGGTTAAAATGGTAAACTGGTAATAAGCAGTTTTTCATAAGTCAGGACGGATTAACTTATCAAAAACTGCTTATTACCGGTTTGGCACCGGTATAAGCAGTTTTATTTTTTCTTATCCAAATACTAGGTATTAACTTATCACTGGTGCCAGACTGAAATAAGTCAATAAGCAAATACAATAAGCAATCCCAAACACCCCCTTAGTGTTTGAACATATATATATACTAGAAGCGTACTCGCGCAATGCAGCGAGATACATCGTGATTTTAATATTTTATTTTATTCTTTATCTCAGTCGATGTTATAATATGGCTTTATGTGATTTTGAGAAAGCGATAATATTTTTATTTTTGAATAAAATATATGTTTGAAGATATTATAAAAATTTGACAAAAATATCGATATTAGTATCAAATTAACTATTTGAAATTCCTCACTTTTTGTGTAATTTTTTATTCAATTTTTTTAATTTAATTTATGTACAATAGCGAAGTAATTTATATTTTGCTTAATAATATATTTTTTTATAAAGATAATAATTATTTATTTTGTTGGAACTCGATAATAATTYTAATTATATTTTAGATTTTTTATATTATAAAATGAGATGTTCATCCTCTATTTGATTATGTTTATCCGCAATTATTTATACGAATTCA